AATAATTTGTAATATTTGCTCGTTCTACTATTTTACAAATTCCTTAGAATATTGTTATTTCCTATACATTTGCTATAATATATCATTTAATTCTAATTCTCAAAAGATTAAATTCATAAAACTATCACCAACTCATTCATTTATTAACTCATTACTTTTATTCGCTCACTTTCAAACAACAAATATATGGCCCAACTTTATCAACCATCTCAAGAAACTGTTTTCTTACCCTCTATTTGTTCTATTTATGCTTCAATAATTTTCATACGAAATTTTAAAGCTCGTTCACTACAACTATGCTGTTTTATTTACTATGACTAATACACTACATGGCCAAAAGCATAGCCATAAATTGCACAAAACCCTGCAAACAGTGTTGGCAATTGGACTGGAACAACATTGGACAATTCAAACCTCAATTAACTTTTACTATTGTTAAATTTTTTAAAAAAAGTTATAATACACTATTTCCATTCATTGTTTTATTAAAAATGGGAAAGCATTGTTTAACAGAATACACAATTGGTTTTAAATGAAATGGCCAACTCTTGTAATAAGTTTTCTATCTGTAAAGCTTGTAAAGCCTAGGTCTCTTATGATTTTGCTTACTCTAACAAAATAGTAAATCCTATTTTTTTTGGAAAATATGGAAAAGAAACTGGGCAAGAAATCTTGGATAATACAGGTAGTGAAATCACAAAGTCTGTCAAACAAATAATGTAAAATTACAAAAGATGTCCTAATAAGTGTGCCAAGAAGAATAGAAGCTGTTATTGAATGTGTGGACCAATAAAATATTCTTTGGAAAAGTTTTTGGACGAAATTTTCATTATTTTTCTAAGAGTAGGATTTTATTATTATTATCTGTATTTTTTTTTTTGCACTCGGATTTCAGATAAGCCGTAGCCTATGGTTTTGTATTAATAGTAGCAATAGTAGTAATAGTGATATAATTGCCATTAGAGTTTACCGGTCGATTCTAGTATTCAGATTCGAATCAGGTTCGAACCAGGCTCGAATCAGTGATAGAATAATTCAAATCGTTCAAAAAATTTCTCCATGGATGATTTAAACAATGATGATTTTTACAATGACGATTATTATTCTGCCCTTTCACTTCTCAGACCTTCTATACAATTGGATTCAGATTACCACCCAGATTACTCATTAGCTTCTTATATCACCAATTGGGAGTTACATTTTAATTATTTCAGATTTATAAACTAGTTAGTTTATCATTTTATATTTTATATTTTACATTTACCTTCAAAACCTGGAAACCTGGTACTAACTTTTTTTTGTTCATTTGGAACAAAAGTCCAAATTAATGGCGATACAAAAATGAAAAATGCTATAATTTATGGATGGGTAAAGATTACTGCCATCACTTTAGAATGAATATAATAATAATAATAACAATAAATTTTGTGTTATTTATGCATGGCAATTAGAGCTTACGTACGAACCGGTTCGAATCGATTCGAATATTCGAACCATCAGCGATTCGAACGATTTTAACCATCAGCGATTCGAACGATTTTAACCAATAATTTGATTCTATAAATTTAAATTTAAAATTTCAATGCATTCTTTTATTTAAATTCATAATAAAATTTAACTTTGAAAATTATTATGCGAAAGGTTACATGTAGAATTATCATGTTTAAACATTTTTTTTTTCGATTATTGGAACAAATTTACACTTGGCAAACTCATTATGTTCACCTACTAAATTATAACGATCTTTAGCTCTCCACATTCTAGTTGATTGTGAGTTTTCTTCACATTTTTTTTTGTTAC